TGTGGAGTGGTTGAAAAACGAGTTTTAATGACTCCAACCTAAGTGTATGTAAATTCCGACTTCAACTGTACCTTCTTCAGGTTTGGCCATCATGGAGTAGCTAAACAAGTCAACTGGTTGAGAGCACAACAATATGAACAAATAGCTTTGAAACACAGTTGAAGTAGGACACACAAGGTAACTCAAAATAACCCATATGAGACCAAAAGGTATGAGGAAGTTATCCAAGATGTTCCCTTCCATTGCCATGTGAGTTTTCCTGAGTGAATGGTAGAATTAGCATTTTTGCCAGAAGATAGGGTTTTGAACCGCTCCCATTTCCATAAGCCACAGATGTGTTTGCTGAACTTTTCTCCCCAAAATCTGTGTTTTAGAGTCTGTCCCTGTTGCATTATTTAACCATGCTCTTGTCTTTTTCTCCAACTACAATCTTCATAATGACAAACACAGAGGCTCTCCTCTCCCCTCACCCGGCCTAAGAGAGGCAGTAGTGTTTACACAGTGTGGAAATATTGTCTTCCTAAGCGCAGTTTTTTAGGCTTTCTAAAGGGCTCTTGTACTTATTTCAAGTTCAAGCAAAAGTGCCACTCCAAGTAGCAAGAACCAAAAAGCAGAATCCCTCATTTCAAAAAGCATGAAGCTAGGTTTACGCATACCAGAGACGATAGTTCAATAAGCAATCATATACAACACTCAAAGTCTCATCATTCTGACTCCCATCTACTTCATATTTCAGGAGGTTCATACCCTGTCTTTTTCCACTGTGTGTTGAGAACACTTTAAATTAAACATAACCCAGCCCAACCTCTGTCGATCACATAACAAAAGCCTATGCAGTAGAGTAAAACACCTCTAAAAATATATTGTTCTCTCAAACAATGCTGGGGTTGTCTTAAAAACAGCTCGTCTTTAAAGAACTGCTAATGACTTTTATCCTTCTCAATGACAGATCTCTGAATGGAGCATCTGTATGGAGACTAGAGGGATGTCTTTTTGCTACGCCGAAACGTAAGCCTGTTTGTCTCATCAATAAATGATCAGATCTATGCAGAAACAGAGAGCTCCTTTTTCTTTATGGTCCTGGATAGTCAGCCATTGAAGTGTCCTGCGGTAAGGAATGTTATGGGTATTTTCAAGTACTTCAGTCGATTCCCTTTATGTTCAAGCTAGCGCCCTGTGTGAGCTCAAAGCACAGGGGGAGGATGGTTGATTGCTTAATGAACATGTGCAGGTTTTGGTCAGGTTAATGCTGCTGGACATTTGGGAGGTGTGCCAGGCAGATGGATGGGGATGGTGAATCACTCAGACGCAAAGAAGTGGGCACTGCCCTCCTTCGATGCCAAAGTGCCTTCATGCATGCGAGAGCGTGTGTAGGAGGTAAGCTGAACCTAACTAAGGAGAACAGGGGCCTAGCTGAGTTCTAATTACCTGCTGAAATGTGACCTTAACGGGGAGAAAGCCCATTTCCAGGAGCAGCAGCAGAATCACATTGTGTTTACGGGGACATTCTTTCAGGAGCACAGCCAGATTGGAGTCACTGACCTCCCCCGGCCATTCCAGATAAATACATCCTGTGGATAGTACGCCCAAAAGTGAATCTTGTTTCCTGTTTCTCTCAATATCCCCTCCAAACCAAAACACAATAAATCATATACCTAAAAAAAAAATATGGAAAGGTATTGTGGATGGAGAAAAAGCACACTTGATGGGAAAACCTTGGCAAGGATTTTCAGCTGAAGTGAACAGGCTAAGAACCACCCTGCAGCTCAGTGGAGTCACATAATCATTGAGTTCTGTATATTTGTTCTCTCCCTACAAAAACCTGCAACATTCTAAACTTGATAAAATAATCCTCGGGCGAACTATGACATTTCTTTAAATGAACATGTTGAAAACAAAAAGACATTATCACAATGATGCACTGTGTTTGGCTGTTACAGTATATTTCTTTATCTCTACGTTGTGATTTACAAAAGCCTGGTATGAGCTTAGCATACACAGCAACTCTTCAACCCATTTCCATTTTGATTGGCTCCATATTATTAGGCTTCCGTGAGTTGTGTTACCATGGAGGACAATAAAAACAATAGTACAATTTACCTAATTACATTCCCCAAATCTCAGAACCGATATGTATAGAGTATTTAGTGTAATCAGAAATGTCAGGCCATAAATGAATAGTCTACAAGCACACTGACCATCATTTAGTAGCTGAATGGTAATGGCTTCAGACTCCCTTGTTGATGGCACTTAGGGGATGTGGCCTAATTGTGCATGTACAACAATGACCTGTACTGGGAATACTGTCGCTGCTGTGGTATAATGAGAGGGTGTTCAGGCATATTGTGACCATGATGAAATGCGGTGAAAGCTCTTCCCCTATCTGTTTAATTGTTCACATGATGAAAAGTGGTAAAACAGAGGAAGTCCTCAGATGGCACACCGCAAGTTACTCGTTGCATTTGACTATACGAACAGAGTCACAAAGAGCTACTGTTGGTACCAACATCTGCTTGACATGACTTTTCAAAATAGTAATTGTGTAAAACACATATCCTGTTTATCTCGTAACAAAGTCTGGGGATTTCCGGACATAAAAGGATCTATATATCATGAGAAGGTAAAAATCCCAGAACCAATCAAACATCTGAGACCTTTAACGGAGGGCTTTTAGCTCAAAGAAAACACAAATACCAGAACACATACTTTTCATTTGAGTTGGATAAACGTCGATACGTTATTGATTTTCCCATAGTACCCACGGCAGTACCCACAGTGCATACACCTAAGAGTCTAGGGAAGTGGAAGCACCTGACTGACTGTGGAGCAAAATGAATCCACAAACATCTGAAGGAGTCTGATCTCTCTGAGCTACATTAACCCTGAAGGATTCACTTCTAACAAACAGGAACTTTAACTATGCTGAATATGGAGTGAGAGAGAGTGAGAGAGTGAGAGACAGACAGACAGAGCGAGAGACAGAAAGACAGAGACAGAAGACAGAGGAGAGTGAGAGAGGTTTTGTTCTGTGTGCAAGGTACTGAAATAAAAAATTAAATCCATCAACCTATCAATTCTACTCTAAAAAGTTTTTTACCAACAGCATTCTTGTTGACCAGAGTAATGCTGTTGTGAGGCAATGATTGTGCATGTACCACTTCACTTGCATTAGTGTCTATAGTAGTGGTACGATGACAAGCAGTTGTATTTGTTCCGAGTGACTGGTTGCAATAATCCATTTGCACGTATTCCTTTTGGAGGTTGTGTTAAAACACACACACACACACACACACACACACACACACACACACACAGTGGATGTCTCCTGAGTGGCGCAGTGGTCTAAGGCACTGCATCGCAGTGCTAACTGTGTCACTAGAGATCCTGGTTCGAATCCAGGCTCTGTCGCAGCCGGCCGCGACCGGGAGACTCATGGGCGGCGCACAATTGGCCCAGCGTCGTCCAGGGTAGGGGAGGGAATGGTCGGCAGGGATGTAGCTCAGTTGATAGAGCATGGCGTTTGCAACGCCAGGGTTGTGGGTTCGATTCCCACAGGGGGCCAGTATAAAAAAATAAAAAATAAAAAAATTAAAAAAAAAAAAATAAATAAAAAAATTTAAAATTAAAAAAAAAAAAAAATTACAAAAAAAAAAAAAAAAAAAAAAAAATATATATATATATATGTAAGTCGCTCTGGATAAGAGCGTCTGCTAAATGACTAAAATGTCAATGTAAATGTAAATGGATGCTGGACAGTTTGACTGGTATACTCACAGACACAGTCTCCAGTCTGCCACTCCAGACACTGTCCGTAGGGGAAGGAGATGACGTAGGCGTTGGAGTCCACACATCGCTGGGTGCTGCTGCACCACATACACTCCATGGTCTGGCTGGTGCAGTTGGCACAGGAGGTACGCAAGGAGCAAGGCGTCTTACACGGACGGGCACTCTGGTTGGGGCTCACTGTCCACAGGAGAAAATACAATTTCAATCATGTCTGTCCAGTGCACAGGCTGAAAGTAGTGCTGAAAATCAGCTGTGGGGGTTCATGTAGTGTCTAAAACAGACATTTATCTCTACCTTGGACAGAGTATTTTTACAGCACGTATACCCATAACCATTCATTAAATAAGTCATTTAACTCAAGAGCAGACGGTAGCCAAGAGTAATTTCCTCCCTCAGTCTGTCCCCATAATTTGAGCTGAGTTAGGACAGGCAAGTTATTTCAGAGTGGGAGACAACCCCGCGACAGAGGAGGAAGCAGAAAGGTAATGAGAAACTGCAGGATGTCTTTGGTTACCCATTCCCCCTCTACTCTCTGTCAGTACAAAGTGGAGCTATGGGAGGGACGGCGGCCAAAACCACACATTTGAGGATTCATTTGCTTTGGCTCCCCAGCTATTCTGGGCTCTTAAATGAGTTCTAGAATGGTTCAGTGGGGCTAAAAGCAGACAAGATAAGACAGTGAGTCAGACGGGCCTGTTCGTGTTTCCAGTTTCCTTGCGTTGTGTGTCTGTGTGAGTGGGACGGTCGGTCACTGGGGGGCCAAGATGGGGAGGAAGGTCAGCTACTGTCAAACACTCCGGGCTGTGATCTTCTCCAGTCATACCGCTACTCTTCCTAAAACAATACAGTATCTCTCCTCATACAATCTGCCCCCTTTTAAATTCACAAGACTAGTGAATTCTGCCCCTTGTCACTGATGATGGCAACCCAGCAGGTTTTCTGGTTGTAAATGTTTCTTTCCCACTCCAACTGATCTCTAATTCAATAGTGTCTGATTGGGCTTTAGATTGACTACATACTAGCAACTGCTGAATGGGTCAATCACATGTTCAAGGGAGGCTTCTTGGAATTCACAAGGGTTGCAGGTGTCTTTGAGAATTAGTCTGTATTTAGTCTTTATTATTCAAATCACCACCGCCTCAATTATTCTCCAGCTCTCCTACCCTCTCATACTCCCACCCTCGCTCTCTCTCTCTCCCAGTCCCTCTCTCACCAACTGGTTTTTCACAGATGAGTCCGTCGGTGGTGGCGGTGCAGGGGTTGGCCTTGAGCCCTGCCACCTCTACCCTCTCCAGGTAGGCACAGAAGCCTGAGTCGCTGGGCTCTCCAGGCAGCCACTGCAGAGAGGAGTTGGTGAAGGGAGACATGTCCTCCCAGCCCCAGTACGAGATGTTGATTTTCCTCAGGCCCACCCACGGAGCTATCTTCTACAGGACAGAGAGGAGAGAAAGAGAAGAGGGAGGTTCAGGATGGAGAGCCTGGAATCTAAAGCTAAGAAGTCTCTCTATACTCCATACTATGTTGAGGGCCAGTCAGTATGAAAACATGTTATTCATTTCCCAACATACATCCTCTATATTTGATTGAAGTAATGTTTATGTGAAATCTTCAATCAAACCGTTGGGCAAATTGCTATAATTACAGTGAAAGTGCCGACCTCAGCCAACACTAACCCATAAAACCAAGTCAGGCCAGAGTCATTAAACTAAGGTATTTATTTAGACTTTTACAAATGTCTGTGAGTATGAGTTATTTCATAATGGGCAATAATGTCTCAAAAGTTTTACCTGTAATAAATTGTTAATTAGCCGGCAACACCTGCTATGATCTATCACACAGTGAACATTTATGAGAGCATAACACTTGAGTAACCGAGGGAGAACGCCAGGATTCAAATCCTGAAAAACTTGTTGCTGTACTTTCATTAAAAATCCCTATTACAGGCCGACTGGGACGAAAAATAATTAATTGCTTGGAAGAAAAGAAAACTGATTATTGCAGCCATGGAGAGCATAAACTTCTTCCAAATGACTGGCAGAAAAGAGCTAAGAGGGAAACCTGTTGCCTCTGCATCTTAAAACATCAAAGGTGAGCTTTATTATTAAGAATAGTGTTAATCTTCAAAGAGCAAAAAGAAGCTGCTTAAACACTCCACCCTAAAACCGTGGAGAGAGATCCTCTAGCTCCATTGTTCAATTAATAACACCAGTTAAATACTTGCTCCTGCATATCCTTCTCAGTCCTGATATAGCACAATCACTGGAAAAGCCAACGTGTGGTGGGCAACATGTGTGGTGGGCAGATAAACAGGAAGTGTGACTCTTGACAAAATAAATACAAGTTTGGTTGGGACCACAGAAATCTCAGTGTTTGCCCTATATTCAATTGATCACGTGTGGGCTGACTCATCAGTAAATAAGATAGGACACGTGTTCAATGTGTTTGGGTTCAGATCATCATGGGTTAATGTAAGTTCCACTGTCATGGCCATTCCTTAGGCATTCGACTTGGAAAAAATACATTCCTCAAGACAGAACTATATGAAGGACTACGTTCAAAACAACACACCGTTTTAAACCGAGGTGTTTCCCTTACCTTCTCCTGTAGCTGGTACTTCTGCAGCTCGTCCAGTATAAAGTCCACCTGCTTGGGGGTGGTGAGGGAGGCTATGTTCCCGTCCAGGTTCTTACAGTAGTGCTGGGCGTTGTCATAGCTCTCCCTGCTGGAGTTGATCCTGAGGCAGGCCTCCCCAACGTGGTGCCAACCTTCCCCACAGAGCTGAGCTGTGGACAGGGAGAGAGCAGTAATTTAGACCCAGGCTTCTGACTGTGCTGGGCCAAACAATTGGATAGTGCACAGTTCTGCTCCTGGCCTCAAGACCCCTCATATCAACTGGATTTGATATGCAACTCACAGTACACTGATATATCGTTAAATATAAAAGCGAGGTTGTTTGACAAGTATGACATGGTGTGAATTCAGGCAATGTCAGTCAGTTGAGATGTATATAGAGAATGATGGACTATTCTTCAAAGAGGATTGCGTCGACCACCATGCATTAATACAAAAGTATGTGTCTGTCGAGCATTAGTATACAGACACGTCAAACAGTGCGAGAAACTACACGGACGCCGGACGAGACCTTCTTTATTAAAATAACAATTTGCAGAGATTAAAGGAAAAACAACTCCAGTTTCATCTCAGGAATTTTTCTGCTTATTTCGGAGACTTGCACTGATTACAGCCTCAAGTCTTCTTGGGTATGACGCTACAAGCTTAGCACACCTGTATTTGGGGAGTTTCTCACATTCCTCTCTGCAAATACTCTCAAGCTCTGTCAGGTTGGATGGGGAGCGTCGCTGCACAGCTATTTTCAGGTCTCTCCAGAGATGTTCGATCGGGTTCAAGTCCGGGCTCTGGCTGGGCCACTCAAGGACTTGTCCTGAAGCCACTAGTGCATTGTCTTGGCTGTGTGCTTAGGGTTGTTGTCCTGTTGGAAGGTGAACCGTCGCCTCAGTCTGAGGTCCTGAGCACTCTGGAGCAGGTTTCCATCAAGGATCTCTCTGTACATTGCTCTGTTCATCTTTGCCTTGACCCTGACAAGTCTCCCAGTCCCTGCGGCTGAAAGACATCCCCACAGCATGATGCTGCCACCACCATGCTTCACCATAGGGATGGTGCCAGGTTTCCTCCAGACATGACGCTTGGCATTCAGGCCAAAGAGTTCAATCTTGGTTTCATCAGACCAGAGAATCTTGTTTCTCATGGTCTGAGAGTCATTTAGGTGACTTTTGGCAAACTCCAAGTGGGCTGTCATGTGCCTTTTACTGAGGAGTGGCTTCCGTCTGTCAAATCTACCATAAAGGCCTGATTGGTGGAGTGCTGCAGAGATGGTTGTCCTTCTGGAAGGTTCTCCCATCTCCACAGAGGAACTCTAGAGCTCTGTCAGAGTGACCATCGGGTTCTTGGTCACCTCCCTGACCAAGGCCCTTCTCCCCCAATTGCTCAGTTTGGCCGGGGGGGCAGCTCTAGGAAGAATCTTGGTGGCTCCAAACTTCCTCCATTTAAGAATGATGGGGGCCACTGTGTTCTTAGGGACCTTCAATGCTGCAGAAATGTTTTGGTACCCTTCCCCAGATCTGTGTTCGACACAATCCTGTCTCGGAGCTCTACAGACAATTCCTTCGACCTCATGGCATGGTTTTTGCTCTAACATGCACTGTCAACTGTGGGACCTTATATAGACAGGTGTGTGCCTTTCCCAATCAATTGAATTTACCACAGGTGGACTACAATCAAGTTGTAAAAACATCTCAAGGATGATCAATGGAAACAGGATGCAACTGAGCTCAATTTCAAGTCTCATAGCAAAGGTTCTGAATACTTATGTAAATAAGGTATCTCTGTTTTTTATTTGTAATATACAGTGGGGAAAATAAGTATTTAGTCAGCCACCAATTGTGCAAGTTCTCCCACTTAAAAAGATGAGAGAGGCCTGTAATTTTCATCATAGGTACACGTCAACTATGACAGACAAATTGAGAAATTTTTTTCCAGAAAATCACATTGTAGGATTTTTAATGAATTTATTTGCAAATTATGGTGGAAAATAAGTATTTGGTCACCTACAAACAAGCAAGATTTCTGGCTCTCACAGACCTGTAACTTCTTCTTTAAGAGGCTCCTCTGTCCTCCACTCGTTACCTGTATTAATGGCACCTGTTTGAACTTGTTATCAGTATAAAAGACACCTGTCCACAACCTCAAACAGTCACACTCCAAACTCCACTATGGCCAAGACCAAAGAGCTGTCAAAGGACACCAGAAACAAAATTGTAGACCTGCACCAGGCTGGGAAGACTGAATCTGCAATAGGTAAGCAGCTTGGTTTGAAGAAATCAACTGTGGGAGCAATTATTAGGAAATGGAAGACATACAAGACCACTGATAATCTCCCTCGATCTGGGGCTCCACGCAAGATCTCACCCCGTGGGGTCAAAATGATCACAAGAACGGTGAGCAAAAGTCCCAGAACCACACGGGGGGACCTAGTGAATGACCTGCAGAGAGCTGGGACCAAAGTAACAAAGCCTACCATCAGTAACACACTACGCCGCCAGGGACTCAAATCCTGCAGTGCCAGACGTGTCCCCCTGCTTAAGCCAGTACATGTCCAGGCCCGTCTGAAGTTTGCTAGAGTGCATTTGGATGATCCAGAAGAGGATTGGGAGAATGTCATATGGTCAGATGAAACCAAAATAGAAATTTTTGGTAAAAACTCAACTCGTTGTGTTTGGAGGACAAAGAATGCTGAGTTGCATCCAAAGAACACCATACCTACTGTGAAGCATGGGGGTGGAAACATCATGCTTTGGGGCTGTTTTTCTGCAAAGGGACCAGGACGACTGATCCGTGTAAAGGAAAGAATGAATGGGGCCATGTATCGTGAGATTTTGAGTGAAAACCTCCTTCCATCAGCAAGGGCATTGAAGATGAAACGTGGCTGGGTCTTTCAGCATGACAATGATCCCAAACACACCGCCCGGGCAACGAAGGAGTGGCTTCGTAAGAAGCATTTCAAGGTCCTGGAGTGGCCTAGCCAGTCTCCAAATCTCAACCCCATAGAAAATCTTTGGAGGGAGTTGAAAGTCCGTGTTGCCCAGCGACAGCCCCAAAACATCACTGCTCTAGAGGAGATCTGCACGGCGGAATGGGCCAAAATACCAGCAACAGTGTGTGAAAACCTTGTGAAGACTTACAGAAAACGTTTGACCTGTGTCATTGCCAACAAAGGGTATATAACAAAGTATTGAGAAACTTTTGTTATTGACCAAATACTTATTTTCCACCATAATTTGCAAATAAATTCATAAAAAAATCCTACAATGTGATTTTCTGGATATTTTTTCTCATTTTGTCTGTCATAGTTGACGTGTACCTATGATGAAAATTACAGGCCTCTCTCATCTTTTTAAGTGGGAGAACTTGCACAATTGGTGGCTGACTAAATACTTTTTTTCCCCACTGTATTTGCAAACATTTCTAAAAACCTGTTTTCACTTTGTCATTATGGGGTATTGTGTGTAGATTGCTGAGGGAAAAAACATATTTAATCCATTTAAAAATAAGGCTGTAACGTAACAAAATATGGAAAAAGTCAAGGGGTCTGAAAACTTTCCGAAGGCACTGTATATAAATTAATTAATAAAAGTATGTGGACATCCCTTCAAATGAGTGGATTTGACTATTTCAGCCACACCCATTGCTGGCAGGTGTATAAAATCAAGCCCATTGGCAGTAGAATGGCCTTACTGAAGAGCTCAGTGACTTTCAACGTGGCACCGTCACAGGATGCCACCTTTCAAACAAGTCAGTTCGTAAAATTTCTGTCCTGCTAGAGCTGCCCCGGTCAACTGTAAGTGGTGTTATTGTGAAGTGGAAACGTCTAGGAGAAACAACGGCTCACTTGTGTAGTGGTAGGCCACACAAGCTCACAGAACGGGACCGCCGTGTGCTGAAGTGCGTAGCGCATACAAATCGTCTGTCCTCGGTTGCAACACTCACTACCGAGTTCCAAACTGTCTCTGGAAGCAAAGTCAGCACGAGAACTGTTCGTCGGGAGCTTCATAAAATGGGTTTCCATGGCCGAGCCCCCGCACACAAGCCTAAGATCACCATGCGCAATGCCAAGCGTCGGCTGGAGTGGTGTAAAGCTTGCCGCCATTGGACTCTGGAGCAGTGGAAACGCATTCTCTGGAGTGATGAATCACGCTTCATCTGACAGTCCGACAGACGAATCTGGGTTTGGCGGATGCCAGGAGAACACTACCTGCCCGAATGCATAGTGCTAACTGTAGTTTGGTGGAGGAGGAATAATTGTCTGGGGCTGTTTTTCATGGTTCGGGCTAGGCCCCTTAGTTTCAGTGAAGGGAAATCTTAACGCTACAGCATACAATGGCATTCTAGATGATTCTGTGCTTCCACCTTTGTGGGAACAATTTGGGGAAGGCCCTTTCCTGTTTCAGCATGTCAATGCCCCCGTGCACAAAGCGAGGTCCATACAGAAATGGCTTGTCGAGATCGTTGTGGAAGAACTTGACTGGCCTGAACAGAGCCCTAACCTCAACTCCATCGAACACTTTTGGGATGAATTGGAACGCCGACTGCGAGCCAGGCCTAATCGCCCAATATCAGTGCCTGACCTCACTAATGCTCGTGGCTGAATGGAAGCAAGTCCCTGCAGCAATGTTCCAACACCTAGCGGAAAGCCTTCCCAGAAGAGTGGAGGCTGTTATAGCAGCTAAGGGGGGACCAACTCCATATCCACATGTAGTGTATGCACACACTGTCAAATCCACCTCATAGAATTGAGATGTTTCCTGGAGGCACACTACAGGGCAGAAAGAAGAACATGCAATCAGTGTACCGTCCAATGGTAAAGTAACAAGATGCTCTGTTGTCAACACGCCTCTCAGAGAGATGGAGAGCAGAAACGTGGGGTCTCTAAGACCCAAAGTGTCCTCAGTAAACTGGTCTGATTAAACAGATGCAGAAGGTTTATATAAAGCTGTCAGCAAACATGCATTATGGTCTACTCACAGCTAGCTAGCTGTTGCTCACACTGACTTACTGGGCTCTCATTTGTGAGTCAGCTGAGGCTCCATTTTCATAACATCAAGTAAACAATTATAATTGGCCTGCTTCCTGGCCCCGCGCTGGAGAGGAGAGTGCATTTGTGGATGGACTGTATTTCAAATCAAATCAAATCAAATCAAATTTTA